TTTGTCTCAGTGTCTTACCTTACTTGCATAGTAAATTCAAAGGTATATTTTCCAAAAGCAGCTTGCATTTATGTTTTTTTCTACACATTCTGGTCTTCAAATTTTTTTCATTCAATTTTTCGGGATTTTTTTTCTTTTTCAAATAACATAGATTATTAAAAATTTTATTATATATGGACAAATGATGCTCTCTGTATTTAATCATTGCTTTGCATAAACAAGGAAAGGAGATTTTACTCAAGTCTTACAATAGAAGAGAAAGGCTGTGTGACTTTACTCCCCAAGGCTGGAGAATGTACTTAAGGGCTGGGTGGGGAAATGTTACTTTGCTAAATGTTTCTACAAAAAAGAAAGCCACCATTGTCTGGATTTTCAATTCTAGATATGAAATAAAACTAATGATGTTTTTCTGTGATCAATACTTATATATAAATTTATTAGAAATAGAGCAAGTCAACATATTTTGTGAACCTTATTTTCCATTTTTATTTAAAACCTTAAAGATTTAATGCTTTCTTCTATGTGAATAACCACCCAAGATTTTCATTAAGGTCATTTTTATGTAGAAAACAAAACAATAGCCAAAAAAGACCGTGCTAACTTTCAACTTTTGAATACTTCCAATACATTGTTTATAATCTTGAATTTACTTTTGAGCACTATTTTTATTATGCATTGTCAAATTACATTTTTATATATTTAATTACAAAGTGATATTATGATTTTGAGTGGAATATAGAGGAAGTTAATATATGTGCTGCCTCAAAGTTTTCACATTTTTCATGATGAAAACAAGAAATTTTTTCTTAGTGCTATTTGAGTATACAGTATTAAGTTACTAACTATACTCTCTATGCTCTACAATTAATTTAAAAACCCCAAAGCATTTGTTACTTTGCATCGAAATAAGGCTTTGTCACTTTGATTGTGATTACCATATTCATCCCAGCTCTTTCTCCACAAGCCACCGTATTGCCTTCCACTTTTATGAATTTAATTATTTTAGATGCCACCTACAAGCAAGAGCATGCACTATTCATCTTTCTCTCTCTGTGCCACTTCCTTTAGCATAATGTTTCTATAATTTCAATTTTGTTGTTACAATGACAACCTTTATTCCTTTTAAAAACAATACTAATTTCACTGCACAAATATATTTCCTTTTCCTATAACCACTCATTCCTTGATGGATGCTTAGGTTGGTTGTTTAACCTCGCTATACTTTTGTTCGCCCTTATACTTGCTGCTATTCGTCCTAGCTAGATCAGTTAGATTAGACAGGATGAAGAGTAAAGAAGCATCCAAACTGGAAAAGCAGAAGTGAATTATCTTGTTTTCCAGAAGATTCCATGCGTAGAAAATCATAAAGATTCTACAAAGAACCTGTTAGAAATGACAAACAGCTTCAGTGAAGTTGTATTATATAAAATCACCTTGCAAGAATAACTAGTGTTTTTCTACACTAACAGCAAACTCTTCAAAAAATAAATCAAGCTTTTTACCAAGATGGTGCCAAAAGTGAAGAAGGAAGGCCCCACCACTCCCAAAGCTGAAACCAAAACAAAAGCTTTGAAGGCCAAGAAGGCCATGCTGAAAGGCATCCACAGCCACAAAAAGAAAATACAAGCGTCACCCATCTTCCACCGTCCTAGACACTGCAGCTCTGTAGGCAGTCCAAACACCCTCAGAAGAGCGCCCCCAGGAGAAACAAGCTTGACCACTCTGCCATCATCAAGTTCCCCCGACCACAGAGTCAGCCATGAAGAAGATTGAGGACAACAACACACTCGTGTTCATTGTGGATGTCAAAGCCAATAAGCACCAAATCAAACTGTGAAGAAGCTCTATGACATCAGTGTTGCCAAGGTCAGTACCCTAATCAGGCCTGATGGAGAGAAGAAGGCATATGTTCGACTGCTCCTGATTATGATGCGTTGGATGTTGCCAACAAAATTGGGATCATCTAAACTGAGTCCAGCTGGCTAATTCTAAATATATACTTTTTCTCAGTAAAAATAAATAAATAAATAAATAAATAAATAAATAGAACTAATACTTGTGTAAGATCAATAAAAAATTAAGGTAGGAATAAGTTTAACCAAGTAGATATATAATAACGAAAACCAAATAAATGAAAAGTTATCTGTTTCCATGGATACTATGGTTTAGATACAATGGCCTCCCCAAAGTCCCCTGTATTTAGAAGTTGAGCTTTCAGGAGGTGGTCAGATCACAAGGTACTTCCTCAGCAATGGGTGGAGGTGGGGCCTGGTGGGAAGACGTGGCCACCACTGGGGAGATGGATGGACAGGCTGCACTCTTGTCCTCAGCCCCCTCCTCACTCTCAACTGCATTCCACTGTTGGTGCCTGAATAGCAGGGAATGAGCAGCTTTCTTTTGGTGTGCTCTTCCACCTGCTGCTTTTGTTATGAAGCAAGCTGGACACTAACTGAAACCTTTGAAACTGGGAGCCAAGCAAATCTATCCTCCCTGATGTTGTGTGTGGCAAAAAAAAGGTAACTAATACAGTGGAGGAGAGGCATTAATATTTTTTAAAAAATATCTGCAGAGTCAGTGGAATCTGTATTGAAGTAAAAAAATACATATTATGGGTTTTTTTTTTTATGTATTTAGTACAGGGTCCCACTACCCAGATCAGATTCGTAGTAATTCTGTTTTTAGCCTTCCAAGCACTGGGCGTACAGGTGTGAGAACACCTGCGGATCCTGTACTAAGTACAAAAAACAAAAAACAAAACAAAACAAAACAAAACAAAAAACAAACAAACAAACAAAAAAAGGACTGCACAGTGGAAAAGGCAGTCTTTTCATTAACTGGTGCTGAGAAACTGGACAACTATATACAAAAGATGAGATTTTATCCCTTTGGTTTTTTTTTTTTTTTCGTCGCTGGGGATTGAACCTAGAACTCCAAGTATGCTAGGCAAATGCTGTCACTGAGCTACATCCCCAACCTCTTTTACTCCTTTTCATATAAAAAAGCCAATTCAAAATTGATTAAATTCAATCATAAGGACTGAAATTACAAAACTACCGGAAGGAAACATTGGAGAGAAAAACTGTGTGACTTTGGTCTAGGCAATGAAATTGAGATTTGATCCCAAAAGTATAGGTGAAAAAAGCAAAGATAGATAAAATCTACACATAAAAATGGAAAGACTCTGCACATCAAAAGGAACAAGAGTGAAAAGATAACCTATCAACTGTAAAACTATTTGCAAGTGATATGGGTGTTTAATAATTAATATTCAAAATACATGAACTCAAATGTATCTACAAAAAGAAAATAATCTTACAAAGAATGGGAAAAGGACCTCAATAGACATTTCCCAAAAGATGACAAGAACAGTAAAAATACATGAAAAAATGCTCAACATTATGAATCAACATATACAAATTAAAACAGAAATAAGATACCATCTCACATCTCCCAGAATAAATATCAAAACATGAATACTAGAGAGGACGTGGAGAAAAGCGAATACTTACATACTATTGGTGAGAACATGAATCTGAAAAAATAAACACTTTGTAAA